ACACACACACACACAGACACACACACACGCCCTGCTGGGGCCAAACAGACGGCAGCTAATGGGGTCACACACACAGACGACAATTAAAATCTGATGTGTTATAAAATACGTCACACACACACTAGTCAAGGTCACGAAGCTAAACCAGAGGAGCCGGTGAAATGTGACGACTTGTCGGAGATTTCATAGATGCAGAGTTTTTAGAGTCACTTCAGGTCCTCGTCAAACTAAAGCAGATATTTAACTCTTCGCTCCGTGTCCGGGCCTCTTCCTTCACAACAAAGTGCAGATTTTCAAAAACTCCTGCATCTGTGTGAAAATGTAAAACAGAGCGTTTGATGACATCACATTTCTTTACGGCACACATGTCGCTGCTGCTTTGAGAAATGAGCGTGAACCAGGAACAACGACAGTTTCTCTACTGCTCCTTCTAATTACAAGTTAGCAGCTAAATGTAGCATCATTGCAACACACTGAGGCTTCATGTCTTCTTATCTTATCACCAGATTTCTGTGTGTGTGTGTGTGTGTGTGTGTGTGTCTTCATGTGTGTCCGCCTCCTTTAAAGTTAAAACCTTTGAACATTAATTTAATTCATTTATAATTTCGAGGGAATCGAGGAAGCTCGGCCAATCAGGAGTCAGTCTGAGCTGTCAATCACGACGTCTCGGCCCAATCAAAACCAAACAAACATCAGTGAGATAAGAACGATCTAAATTAACAGAAACCATCTTTGGCAAACATTTTTATTTTTAGTTTGGTCAACGTCCCATCTGCTAACATGGAGGAGGTGTAACGACCCGTCCTTCACAGAATACACAGAGTCGTGTACTCTCACGATTTCAACTCTGTTTTCTCCTCGGTCGTCCGTCTCTCTGTCCGGCGGGGCCCCTCCCACCGAGCCGAGAGGAAAGCGATACGCTTGATTCTCTCTCAGCCTGCAGGAGATCTCAGCGACCAAATGAAAAATAAGCTCTGTTGCATGCTGGGAAAATATTTAGCTTGTGTCAGAGGATCTGTGGCTGTGAGGACCAACTGGTTCTAATGGTTTTAATTTGGTGTCTGCTGGTTTCTAAACAAAGAAAGAAATGTAGTGTGAAGTATTTACAGTATGTGCACGTGTGATACTACAGTAAGTCGTCTATAATGTATTTAGTACTGTTATTGTGGGTTATTTCTAGTTTTATCTTTTTATTTTGAATACTGTTTTTATTTCTATCCTATTATAAATTCTTGATTGTAACCAGCGGATGTAACAAAGTAAATTTACTTAGTTGCTGCACTTAAATATATTTTTCATGTATCTCTACTTTCTGATCCATAATTAATTATAGAATTATTAAAGTAATGAATGACAAGAGGGGAATTTATCCACTGATCCAGTTACATAATCTGCAGTATTCTCTATTCATAAGACAGTTTGTACGATTAATGTATAAAACTAAATAATAATAAATAATAATTATGGAACAGGCTACACTCTGGAGGTACCGTAACTTTTAAAACTTTAAGAATCTAAAAACAAGTACTTGCTTCAAGTAGAAAGTTAATGTGTCATTTCTGCAGAGAAACAAACGAATGGAAATGTTTTGACGTCTTTGGCCTCAACACTGAAATTCTTCATCATCATTATATTTGAGGGTTAAAGCTGGAATGTGAGTTTTATCAGAGTTTCTTAATTCACAGCTTTCGTGTGATCGTTGGTGGAATCAACAATAACGACAAAGAAAACAAAAATATTTTACCAAACTTCAGTTTGATCCCATAGAGACTTTAACGCTGAAGCTGTCACCACATATAAAATATCATACATATAACGAGCTTCTCTTCATATATATATATATTTGTGTTTTGCTGTCACTACCTCCAGACCACACGTCATCGCTGTGGAGTTCACTAATATGTGAACTGTGGCCTTTGGTCCCACTGGGATTTGACTCCAGGGCCCCGGCTGCAGGTTGGGATGAGTCTAAGCAGTCGCAGAGAGGAGTGTGTGCGGCGGTGTCGTATTTCTTTAAAAGCACTCCAGAGTTTCTGCAGAGTTTCCTGAGGGCAGGAGGGATTTTCTTTGTGTTGAGTCCGGAACCATTTGCATAGAACCCTCCTCCTCCCTGCGGATTGGTCGAGGCTCCGCTGGCATGTGGAAACTCACATCCAAACTTTCTCAGTTGAAGCAAAACTGTGCCGAGTGGAGGAGGATGAGGTGAGAGGCCGGACGCCAGCAGCAGCATGAGTGAGTCAGAGAAGCAGGCAGAGAGCGGAGTGTATACAGAGAGAGAGGGTGAAATCTTAATTATACGTTCAGATAATTGACTTCTGACCAAATAATTAGGTGTTCGCTTTTCAGCTTTCTTCACTGGTTTTGTTGTTTTGAAAAAAGAAACCGGAGATTTGTTTGTAACAGACGTGATATTTCTCTCCTCTATTTAAAAAAGAGACCGTTTGAAAGTTGTTTTAATTTCAACTTTTGTCTTTTATTTAAAGTGACCATGTCAGTGTAGCCAGTAGACAGGAGACTGTTTCTTACTTCACATCAATATGCTGCTGGCTCTGCCTCTGCTTCTGAGTCTTTGCTCTGACGCTCACTCCTCCGAGCCGTCATCAATAATCATCAAGTACCAGGTTTGGGAGGAGCAGCTGGCGGGGACCCAGGTCGGCCGGCTGTTGGATGACCTTCGGCAGAGGGATGAAACTGGTCCCCTGGAGGATTTCCAGGTGGTGGAACATGGCAAAACCCTTCCCTTCTCCGTCAGCACTCGAGACGGGGTTGTCTCCACCCAAGGCCGGCTGGACAGGGAGGAGCTGTGCCGGGGGTCTGACCTGTGTGAGGTGGCCTTCAGCGTCCTCTACAAGAAAAAAGGTTCCATGAACTGCCTGAGGGTTCGTGTGGAGGTGATGGACCTGAACGACCACAGCCCCAGCTTCCCCAGTCCTCTGCAGGAGGTGGAGATCTCAGAGACTGCCAGTCTCAGGATGCGAATCCCTCTGGACCGGGCGGTTGATCCTGACGCGGGGCCCAACAGTCTTCAGACCTACTCACTGTCCGTCAACCAGCACTTCGCTCTGGATGTGACGGTTGGTCCAGATGGAACAAAACAAGCAGAGTTAGTGGTTATCAAAGAACTCGACAGGGAGGTTCAAAACTCCTTCGACCTCACCTTGGTGGCGTGGGATAAAGGGAATCCCCTTAAATCTGGGAGCACGTTAGTTCGTGTTAATATTCAGGACTCCAATGACAATAGCCCCAGGTTTGAGGACAGCACTCCCTCTGTGGAGCTATCTGAGGACACAGCTCTTGGGACAACCATCATCAACCTGAAGGCCACTGATCTGGACCAGGGTGCCAATGGGGAAGTGGAGTATTCGCTCAGTAAACACAATCGTCTGGATGTTCAGAAACTTTTCTTTGTGGATCCACAAAGCGGAGCCGTGAGTCTCAAAGCACATCTGGACTATGAGGCTCAGCCCTCTCATGAAGTGATTATACAGGCCCGTGATCACGGACCCAATTCTATCCCCTCGCACTGCAAACTGCACGTCAAGCTCAGGGACATTAACGATAATGCACCAAGGATACACATGACCTGGACTCCACCCAACTCCCCTGTGGCGACCGTACTCGAGGGAGCCTCGGTGGACACTTTTCTGGCTCTGGTCATGGTCTCTGATGCAGATTCAGGGGACAATGGCAAAACGATAGCAAGTATACAGCAAGGATCCGGCCCGTTCCGCCTCAAGAAGATTCATGGTGACAACTACATGATCGTAACCGACGGCAGCCTGGATCGAGAGAAGGTTATGCAGTACAACATCTCGCTCCTTGCCCAGGATTATGGAGACCCACCTCTGTCTTGTGTAAAACAATTGCCCGTCCGTGTTCTGGATGAGAATGACAATGCCCCGGTGTTCTCCTCCTCTTTTTATAAGGCCACAGTCAAAGAGAACAGTGACGTAGGCTACCACGCTCTCAAAGTCGAAGCCCACGATGTCGACCTGGCACTCAGTGGAAGAGTCTCCTATTTCATTCACAGCCCCAAAAACCTGGAGAGTGACGAAGACATGTTCTACATCTCCTCTAGTGGTGTCATAAGCATCCAGCAGCCTCTGGACTATGAGGAATCCAAAACCTACACTTTCATTGTGGCGGCTTCTGACCACGGTCATCCGCCTCTCACCAGCACCGCTACTGTGCAGATCGACGTCGAGGATATAAACGACAACCATCCGGTCATCAAGGAGCCAAAACCTAGAAACGACCTTGTGTCTTTAAGTGTACCTGTCAATGCAGACAAAGGGGAGGTAGTGACTGAGCTGGGTAACAACATGGAGGAGGCGTTGGCCGATTTTACAATGAATCACCCTGTCAGAGAGGGAATCTTTGGATTTCTTGCATCAACCATAAAAGCTGAGGACCCGGACTCAGGACTCAACGGGGAAGTGCAGTACCTCATTACCCACGGAAACCCGAACGGACTCTTCTGGTTGGACGAGGCTACAGGCCAACTCTTCGTTAACACCACCAACGCTACTGAGCTCATTGGGAAAAACTTTGAAGTGGGCGTAGCTGTATCAGACTTGGGTACTCCCAGTCTGACCACTGAAGTGACTCTGGAGGTGACCTTCATCAACCTCAAGGACCATTTGAAGAACTCGTCACCTGGTAACCGAGCACAGCTTAGTTTTACCATGATGCTAGCGATCTGCCTGGGTGCTACATGCCTGCTGCTTCTGTTGGCCATCGCTTTGGTGACCACGTTCTGCCGCCCCGAGAAACGAGACAACCATGCTTACAACTGCAGACAGGCTGAATCGACCTACACCCGCCATCCTCGGCGGCCGCAGAAGAACATCAGAAAATCTGACATTCAGCTAATTCCAGTCATCCGGGGGCGAAAGGAGGAGCCTCTCTCTGAGGACGACAGTGAATCCCAGCCACTGGCTCCGCCTCCAGAGATGTCCAAAGATGTAGAAACTGAGAGGCAGTACACCTTAACGCCGTCAGTCATGAATTTAAGCTTCCATTCCCAAGGCTACCCAGACGGGGAGGCCACTCAACCTGTCACCCACCACTCGAGAACCCTTCGGAAACCTGGGAACATCGAACTCGATGGCGCTCTGCCTCTGACTCCCGCCACGTCGTACAGAACTCTTCGGAAATCCAGGAACACTTCGTCTTCGTCTTCTTCAGTCTCACACTCAAGCACCTTAAAGCGACACGCCAACCTGGAAGGGGAGGAGGCAGAGTCGTCTCGTTCGGGTTCCCAGGCGACTCTCAGAAGGCCGAAGACGTTGGAGGGACGAGGGGGCCACGAGGCAGAGCACCAGCGGATGCTCCGGAACCTAGTTCGACTCTCCATGGCTGCATTCGGAGACTCGATTGAGCTTTCGTCAGCTTCTCCAGAGGTGCAGGTGAGATGTGGCATCTTCCAACATTCACACACCTTCAGATTGTGAGTTAAGTTGAATTAGGTTTTAAAAATATACATAAAAAGTAAAATAGAATAAAGCTCCACCATCTTATACACATATATTTGGAAAACCCGAACACAGTGCATGCTGGGAAGCATGTTAACAAGCTTATAATGTCTTTTATAACAAAGTTAAAATGGAGTTCACTCAGCTCAGCGTTCATTAAAACTCGCCACAACACTTACACTCATGATTGAAGTTGCTTTCAATCATGAGTGTAACTTTACTGCGTCTTGGTTTGACAGATGAGTCCATTTACGTTGTTTTAACGATTTCACAAAATCTGCCTGATGAATTTTTAATGTCTTCTTATTTATGTTTTCCACCGAGGCTCCAACATTAAGGTCAATGCGCCGCTGCCGGCTCTCGTCTAAATGAAATTTGCTTCCATCTAAAAAACGTGTGATCACATTTATTTCAACATGTGCTTACACTTAGTTGCTGCGGCGTAATTAAGTCTCGCCCCCTGCAGGCTTTGAGATTAATCTGAAGTGAAGTCCATTAGAGAGTAGAGAGTTAAGTGCCCCCCACCCCCCACCCCCCATTCTCTCTCTATCACACACACAAAAAGCAGCTTCCCTTACATTTTCCCAGCAGCCTTTCTGCCTCTTTCGGCCTCCTGTGTGATGACTTAGACAGCCTGAGGCCTCGAGTCAAGTGAAGGTGAAGGTGTGTGTGTGTCTGTCTGTGAGTGTGTGTGTGTGTGTGTGTGTGTGTGTGTGTGTGTGTGTGTGTGTGTGTGACTGATTACTGTGAAGAGTTTATTCAGGTGCTCATGTGTCACAGTCACTGATGCCCCCCAGAAACGTTGGCTGTCCTTTTTTCTCCTCCTTTACTCAATATCACATATCAGATTCATTTTGAAACCAGGAGATGAGGAGTGTGTTTGTGTGTGTGTGTGTGTGTGAGGAGGAGGGGGGAGCTCTGTGTGTTAAGGGGAGTTAGTGCATGGGGGGAGGCCAGCCAAAGTAAGCTGTGATGTGTTTGTAGTGTAAGTTAACACCGCTCTGACACGCTGCTCCTGTCACTTGCAAATGACCCAAAAATCACTTTTACTGAGTCGAGCTGCAGCTGCAGAAGAAAGAGGAAAGAAAAACAGCTCGGACTAAAAACAGCCACTCAGAGAGCGGAGCAGGAAACTGAGCCGGGGATCAAACCGTCAGCCGCAGATACAGACACTGTGGGTCCACAGATTTAAATTCACCATCAGACTGATGCTGCAGTGTCGTAATCCTCAATGTGATGATTTTTGAGACAGAGAATTAAAGAGAGAAATGCTTCGCTGGTTAAAATACCAAACCTCGTCACTGAGGGCGAAAGTCGTGGCATCGCCCGGCAGACTGAGAACAAAGAGCTCGACCAGGTCCAACATCCTCACGTGAATCCTATTAAAGAAAGGAAGAGGCCTTTTTCTTTCTACCCAGCATCCCCCTCTCCTCCACCTTTCTGGCTTCAGAAGTTTCTCTCCTCCCTCGAGATTGGAGAGGAAGAGGCCTGCTGGACGTCTGGGAGGAGGAGGAGGGGGTGTTCACCTCCATCTCAAAACACACACACACACACACACACACACACGCCCACACACACACACACACGCCCTCGTCTCGTCCAAATTTTGCCGTCCACCCTGGAAGGAAACCGGCCAGAGAAGAATAGGCTTTTACGTAGAGGCCATTTCCTGTCGCTGCAGCAGCGTGCATGTGTAAAATACACAAACCACACAACTGTCATGACTGAAACTAAGTAATATATTAGCCTGCAAATACACACACACACACACACACCTTGCCAAATGTGTGTGTGTGTGTGTGTTTCCTCCCTGGTGATCGTTGTGTATCCGCTGTATAACAGCAGTTGTCAGCAGAACGCTCTGAGCAGTGAGACGGACGCAGCCGCTCGGTTCTCACACTCTGGAACTAACTGACAGATTCAAAAAGAGAAAATGATGTTTATTCACTTTTCACTTGTGTTTTTAAAATCACAGTTTGTTCAAGCAGCTAAAGCAACAGAGACGATGACTCTGCTGGACAACGAGCGACAGTCAGATCCCACTCCCTCTTCAGTATCAGAGGGTTTTCAGACGTGTTTGCAGCATAAAATCCCACGTTTCCTTTTTAACCCGTCGTTACTGAAACGTGAAATGAATAATATGTGTATTAAAATGTGTATTATACATATTTCTGATGCCAGAAGATTTAAAATAAAGAAATCACCTTGTGTTTGAGGAGGCAGACGTTCTGAATTTTAAAGTTCATTCACTTTAGCCTGAAGTTGTTTCTATAATATTACAACCTCCTTCCTCTTCCTTCTCCTCTTCCTCCTCTTCCTCCCTGCAGCAGATCTCCCAGCTCCTCTCCCTCCTCCGGCAGGGTCAGCTGCAGCCGAGGCCAAACTTCAGAGGGAATAAATATTCTCATCGCAACGGCAGGTCAGTCCTCCTCTTCCTCCTCCTCCTCCTCCTCTCCTCCTCCTCTGATGTAGACTCAACCAAACCACAACAAAGTCAAACCAATAAGCTCCCTCTGCTTCATATTCACGTTCTCAGATGTTTCATTTCATTGTCTTTCATCTTAAACACAGTGAGGTTTCATTATATTACTTTCTCCTCAAACTGACATGAAAACTTGTTGCGTTTGGAAACGACTCAGTTTGACCTGAGAGACTTTGAAGTTGTGAAAATGTTTAAAACTACAGATTAAATGAATAAAAGTTATCTGTGGGATAAATAACTGAACGAGCCAAACTGCACCTGAACACAACCGTTAAATTAAATGAGATTTGAGTCGCTCGTTAGTAATAATAAAGATAATAAGTGTCTGCTGTGGTCTGATCTGATATGAACAGTGTAGTTTTTATAAAGTGGTGAATGAAACCACAGTCTGTCTCATGTGGTTCACGAGGTTTTCTAAATGAAAATGAAGAGAAACAGGTTTTAGTTTCTGGTTTTTATGTTTTTATAACACGAACACACTTCGTGATGTTGAGTTCTAGCAGATGTGACACCACAGATATGAGTTTCCTCAGAGATTACATTCAAATGTTCTTTATTCAAACATTAAGAACTTCATTTGTTGAATATTTTGCAAAGAGGAAACCAAATCTCTCTGTGAGTCATTTGAATACTTTATATTCTGTCATGTGTATGATGTTAAAATGTCGTGTGTGTATTTTGAATGTGGCCAAAGTTTCAAATAACGATGTAAGTTAACGGCTGTGAGACAGAAGCTCAGGTTTTATTCACAGTGAAGCTTGAGTCAGACTCTCAGGTGTGTCAACGTCCTAAAAACATTCGAGAGGCTGATTAAACTTTTCCTCTGTGACCTTCGCTCTCCTGAGTTTAGAAGCAGGTTGAGTGAGAGAGTGGAGATTTTAAAACAGACTGAAATCTAAAAGAAGAAAAGAGTCACTTCCTCCTTCGCTCTCTTCATCTTCAGAGGCTTGTTTCAGATCCAGCTGGCTGCAGGTTTCAGACTCTGATCTCTGCCGCGCTCTCTGATCAAACCAGGCTGCAGCCGATAGCGGGACGACCGGACATTAACCGGGAATGTCACCTGTTTTAAAAACCCACAGATGTTTCTCCTGCGCCGGAACTTTTCTGTCTGTTTGTGCAAAGATCCTCAAACTTACAGATGTGACCAGATGATGCTGCTTCTGTAGATAATATCACTTTTAACTCAAACCCTGAAGAGCTGAGGATCCAGTCGCCTCTTATTTACAGAATGAAATCATTTCGGTCTAACTGATTTGATCGATTTGAATTTCTGGTTTAAGGTGAGTGAGCAGCTCAAGAGTCCGAGTTCCTTTGTCAACGTCGGGTTTACAGAAGTGTTGAGTGACAGAAGTCGTCGCCGATAAACGTTTTCCTCAGAGTTTGTGACCGACTGAGCTGCTGTGACTGAAATAACAGCGACAGACAAACAGGACACGAAGTCAAACATTCAATGTCACAGGAAGAGTCTGTGTGTGTGTGTGTGTGTGTGTGTGGGCTCCGTCTGACTGGTCCACAGGAAGCAAGTAATTCAGCGTCATCATGGCGATGAGATTAGATCTGACATCACCTTGATACAACACACACTCTGTTTTATATTGGCACTGTTTCAAACACACACACACACACACACACACACTCTTTATTTTGTCTGTGAGATGTGACGAGTGTATTTGTTGTGTGTTTGTTGTGTGCAGGTATGGAGGACAGGACTGCTCTGATTGGCAGAGCACCAAAGACAGTGGACACGGCGAGAGCGAGGCCGGAGACATGGACTGGGAACCGGGAAGAGACTCACCCATAGACCCACAGCTGGAGGAGGGGCTCAACAACCTGCTCAACCACCCTGGTACACACACACACACACACACACACACACAGATTGTTTTTATGTCCAAAAATGTTTAAAACTCTTTAACGTACAAACAATGAACATAGAATAAACTTTATTGTCCTCCGTGAAACTTTGTCTTGGGCAGTGGAGCTGCACACGACTTAATACAACAGTTCAATGGTAAACTATGGGACAAACAAACTTTATTATCCTGAGTCTTCACACAACAATAGACTCACACACAGGAAGTACACTGTAGCTTTGATTGTAGATCGACAACAACACTTTTCTCTCACACAGTTTTCGTCAGTAGTGGTGTGAGTCAGGTGACTTGTTTTATATTTACAGGTGTTATTTTAGATGCTAGCCTCAGTCTCTGTGTTTATCAGCGAGCTCCTGGTGGAGCTGGAGGTTTAAAGCTTGTGACCTTTGTTCCCGTGCAGAATAAACACACTCTGCACTTACAATGGACTCACACTGACAGAGGTAGAAAACAGGAAATAACCCAGTGACAGGTTTTACATCCACATCCACCCACACACTCGTCTCTTTGTTTTTATATAACTCGTGTTTCTGAGATTTCATTAGCATGTTGTGGTTATTAGCATGTTGTGTTATCATTATACAAGGAATTATCGATGTGATGATGCTGTTAGCTCCATTATGTAGCATCGTCATTAATATTAAAATGTTGAAATTGTAAACTGAAAGCAGCGAGTGTCCACCGTCACGTCCTCGTCCTCTTTCATTCAAAACTAAACCAATCTTTCCCGAGAAATTAATGTGAACCTCAAACTCTTAAAGCCCATTGTTTAACTGTGTGTGTGTGTGTGTGTGTGTGTGTTTGTGTGTGTGTGGTGTGTGTGTGTGTGTGGGGGGGTCAGAGCAGAGGGGATTACCACGGTCGAGCGAGCCTCACTTTAGGGCAGGAGAGAGAGCAACAAAAGTGTGTGTGGGAGTGTGTTGTTTTATGTGTGTTATGTTTGACTCACCTTCGTCGCTGCAGGCGCCATCATCAGTGTAACTCACACCAGGGCCACAACTCTGTGTGTGTGTGTGTGTGTGTGTGTGTGTGTGTGTGTGTGTGTGTGAGAGAGACTGTTGCGTCTTCTTTAAAGTCTGTGAATCACACAAACACCTGATCCTTTGTTCAGGTCTGAAGATGATATTATGTGTGTGTGTGTTGGTGTGTGTGTGTGTGTGTGTGTGTGTTGGTGAGAGTGTGTAATATCATATCATGTGTAAAACAGATGATTATTTAGAGGTCACATCCTAGAGCATCCTGGAGCTGAGAGCCACAGACAGAGTTGAGAAGTTAAGAGTAAAAGTATTTAGTCAGATTAAAACATTTTACTACAACAATACGAACAGATACTTGATGTGTTTGTGGTTTTTATTGATCAGGACAATTCTTTGATTTCCTGTCAGACACTGAACCTGTTTTTGTACGAATCAAAACTAACTGTGACAAGAGTTTTAGAAAAAGTTGAGTTAATCGATGAACTGCTTCTTAAACAATTCTGAACATGAAGTGTTGGGTTCTGATATTTGGCACTGAGAGGTTTAGTATTTACAGCAGGTCTTAGTTTGATTCCCTGGTTAAACTGTATTAATGTTTCAATCAACCAGCGTCAAAGGCAGAAAAAAAGAATTTCAAACAGACGGAGACGGCCGGAGGCAGGAAGAAGAACCTGAGGCTCAGATAAATGAGGATTACAACAAACAGAGCTTCATGAATAACCACTGAGCTCCACATGTTGTTAACACTCTGTGTGACTGAGGTGAAGGTTCAGGGCTTTTAATGCTGCAGCAGGTGTGTTAATGGACCGATGAGGCCCAACAACACACAAACAAACACACACAAACACAAAGACGGGACTCACTAAGACGTGAAACACGCCAGAGTGTTGACGGCTTCGTCTTCGGACATCAACACCGGGTCAGACGTGAAGCAGCTGACGGTTTTATCTCCGAAGAATCTGCTGAAACTTGATGCGTTTGGTAATTTAAAGAGGATTTTTCTATTCAGAGGATCAGTGGTGGAAAACTACCAAAACAAAGGGTGGGGGGGGCCTCTGGGGGTGGTCTGTGCCACACCGGGTGTGTGTGTGTGTGTGTGTGTGTGTGTG